TTGTGTGGTGATCGAGGGGAGGTCAAGTTCGAGACAGTGAGTGAGTGGAAAGAAAGCCACCAGGTCTTTTACTCGTCTCATTTTGGAGCAAATAGTCCTACCTTTGTTATATTTTCTCATATACTGTTCCTATACTGTATGCCGCAGTTTTTGGACAATATATTGTTGCACTTTGTTGCTTGTGTTGTCACCAATGTATGTTGTTAACATACCGTACTTGGACGTTCATACCGGACATATACCATAGTTATCTCACTGTTCTCATGAAAAAAAGTATGGTAATACTTGAATGCTTTTGTTCTGTTGATGTTTGGTATGGACTGCCAACATATACGTTTTTTTATATGTACCGTATCTTGTGCTGACCTGGCCCACCTCTCAAATTTAGAAATCAATATGGCCCCCGAGCTAAAAAGTTTGCCCACCCCTGCTCTAAATGGTCCCGAGGTGTGAGTGTGAGCGCAGTTGTTCGTCTATGTGTTCCATGCGATTGGCTGGCAACCAGTTCAGGGTGTACCCAGCCTCCTGCCCGAAGACAGGTGGGATAGGCTCCAGCACCCTCCGTGGCCCTTGTCGGGATAAGCAGATTAGAAAATGGATGGATATAACATATGAAGGTGGTTTGAGCAAATTGATTTCAAAAGTGCATACTCTCAAATTGGTAGCCCTCCTTCTTAATCAGTCGCCAAGAGGGAGCTCTTGGTATCAAAAAGGTTGGTGACCCCGAGTTTATACAGTACATCACAAGGCCACCCTAGAACATTCATGTTAATGTGAGGGCACAACATGCTCTTTCTGTTTGGAAGCGAAAACTAAAATGTTTGTTCAGTACTTGGAACATGTTGTGCATCTTGCACTTAAATTGGTGCTCTCTTTTTTTTCTATAGGGACCCCTGGTGTTGGAAAAACAACCCTGGGGAAGGAGCTAGCTCAGCGGACCGGGCTCACCTATGTTAATATAGGTGAGCTGGCTCAGGAAGGTAAAAAAGAACTTACTTCGACATGCTATGACACTTCAGAGAGGATGATTTGATGGGTTTGGTGACTTTGAATAAGGCAGTATTCTTGATTTTTCTTTAAGTCACGTTTTTGTAACACATTGATATTAATTGAACAGTGAACCCTCATTTATCACGGGGGTTACGTTCCAAAAAGAACCCGTGATAGGCGAAATCCGTGAAGTAGTCAGCTTTATTATTTACAGTTATTATACAATATTGAACTATGTATACAATGCAGAGACTGCAAGGGAAGCTCAGCTTCACCTAAATGTCAAAAAGTAAGTAATCAAATATATGTGTGTACCTACAATTGTGTGGACATGTCATTGACTAAATATAAGATAAGATAACCTTTATTTGTCCCACACTGGGGAAATTTGCAGTCGACAGCAGCAAAATTGGGGGGGGATAAAATGTTTCATTGCACAAAATAAATGTTTCAGAAGAGAACTGTACACAGTTCAATATAAGTGCAATATAAAATAAAGCATTAGCAATATATTTGTAGAATAAATACAATAAATTAGCAATAGCATAGAAAACAAAGCGTAAGGTGGCTGTGCTATTTACAATGGTTGCAGGTTTTCACATATGTTTATTCAGCAGCCCGACAGCAGTCGGTAGGAATGAGCGGCGGTGTCTCTCCTTCTTGCAGCGCGGGTGTAACAGTCTCTGGCTGAAGGAGCTACCCAGTGCTGTCAGGGCGGGCTGGAAGGGGTGGGAGGGACTGTCCATCATAACTTTTAGTTGAGCGAGCATCCTCCTGTTGCCCACCTCCTCCAGAGTGTCCAGGGAGCAGCCCAGGACAGAACTGGCCCTCTTGACCAGTCGCTCCAGTCTCTTTCTGTCCCGGGCCGAGATGCTGCCTGACCCCAGACAATGCCATAATGGATGGCCCTGTGCTATGTTATACAACACGCTCAACTTTTGTTCCGAATCAGCTTCTTATTACTGGTTACGACGCGACTCTCTTCACATTCATTCCCGCAGCTTCACTGTGCTTTAAACTGTGTGCACGCTGAGCGTCGACCGCGCGGACGCTGGGAGTCGAGAGAGTTCAGTGTAGGTTGGCACAATGCATTGAAACGAGACAAGTCATTGGATAAATGCTAGTTTTGTCCCGCCCATCGGCCGCTCAGCGTCTCTGGGAGTCTATGGACGGCGGTCACGGACGCTCGGATTTTCTACATGATGATTGGATGATCTGTCTGAGGCTGAATCTCTTTTTGATTGACAGCGAAATGAGCCAATCACCGATCTTATGGTGAAGGCATCATTTTCATTTTTTTGGAAAAGGAACGGAGAGTAAAATTCACGGATAAATAAACGGACACGTTTCATGATGGAGGCCGAAATTGAGCTTCCCCTCCTTGACAGACCAGCATCCGCCACTGATACAATGAAACCAAAGACCAAAAATTTACAAAGGTAAATTTGGCAAGCAGTACAGAGACGAGGTGCAGAGACTGTTCACGTTGGTCAGTCCCTTAGCCAATCAGGATGCAGAACACAATTCACTGTTTAAAAAAAAACTGCAGAAAAAAACTGCACTAAAAAAATCTGTGAAACAACGAAGCCATGGAAGGTGAACCGCGTTAGAGCGAGGGTTCACTGTATATCGTCTATTGATAAGCGGCTCTATTTTTTATTCCATTCATTTTTCCACAGGAGATCTTTATGATGGGTATGATCAAGAGTACCAGTGCCCTATATTGGATGAAGACAGGGTGAGTCATGCTTGAATTCTCTTGAACTTACAGATGATCACCAACTCCTTTCCCTTGATAAAATGCAATGTATGCTACACACACAACGAAACAGAAAAATAAAGCTGATACGAGAGTTGTGAGTTTGCGAAAAGGAAATCACTGCCTACCTTCGTGGAGACGTGACGCGGAGGCATGGGACAAACTTTTGCAGCGTGTCAAGTGCAGGAACATCACTATTGTACGTACGTGTACCATTTTAAACTGCTTCTCTGGTGCTCCAGATTGCCATTCTTTTCCAGTGCCATCAGTGAATTGCCGATGAAACAAACTTTACTGATGATTTTTAAGCCAAAATAATTCAGGTACATCAGGTACAAGTGCAATTATCTTGTATTTCTCAAAGCAGAGATGAAAGTCCTCCGGATTTTCCCGGAATTCCGGGTTTTTCAAATTTTTATGAAAATTTCTCCGGAGAATTGAGGAAAATTGTTTAGTAGAAGGAATGGCAACTCGAAACAACAGTAGCAAGCGTCATTTTGCCTCTTGGGTTATACCATCTCAACTAGAACGTGGGGGATAGTCCCCAAACAATTAAAGTCTCTTTATAA